ACCACTTTATATGTTGGATCAATCTGATTTGAAAGTTTGTTACCTCAATGCAAGATCTCTGCATAAACACATTGAAGATGTTCGAAAAGATATTAATTACTCGTCTATGGATATTGTGATATTTACTGAAACAAGGTTTAACTCCTTGGACACTGACGATATATACAACATTGATGGCTACAGGTTGTTCAGAAATGATGTTTCCCAAGGTACGGGTCCAGGACGTCCATACGGTGGAACTGCTGTTTATAGCCGAGTCCCTTTAAAAGAAGGATACCCTTATACTCACAACGTCAATGGAATCGAGTTCACAATTATTAAAACAGAAAGTAATCCACATTTGAATATAATTGGAGTATATCGTTCACCCAATATTGCTATATCACGCCTACTGTCTTCATTACGTAGCGTACTTGATGAAGATTCTTCTGCACAAAACAATATAATTGGAGATTTCAATGTCAACTGGATGGTAGAATCTGATCGACAGTCACTCTACAATTTGATGGTTGTACAAAATCATTACAGGCAACTGATAGCAGGCTTTACAACCGACAACAGAACGTTAATTGATCATTTATACACAAATTTAATTGAAGAAGAAATTGAAGCTGGTATTCTAGAAACATACTTTAGTGATCATAAAGCAATATGGGCTTCTCTTAGGACATAGAAATAATAATTATATACCGTTCAATTAGGTATTGCAAAGATAGCAAGCCATTGTGCCACTGCATGTGAATGTTATTAAGGCAAGCCATTCCGCCACTGCCAATGTTATTAAGGCAAGCCATTGTGCCACTCCCAGTGTTATTAACGCAAGCCGCTGTGCCACTGTCAATGTTATAAAATTAAGTCATTGTGTGGACGATGGCTATACATTTAGGTAAGTTTTCTTTTTATCTCTTTCCCCCTCTCCCTTCCATGTATTTTTGTGTTTAATTGGGTTTTTTCTTTTTTAGATATCTCTATACATTAATCATGGTCACTTTAATGATAACTTCAGTCAACAAAAGTACTCAAAATAGATACTTGGTATGTTGCTACGTCTTATTACCACATCTACAGTGTAGTCATATCACCAACAAAGCTCCGACTGTATGGCTTATCCATGTTACGTTAATTGCATTCACTAATACTGTTGCATTAATGTTTACAGATATACCAAAGATGTACTATACAAGAATACTGACAACATTGGTGGATAAATTATATTGAATGATATCATCTTATGTCAATTAATATGCGAAAATGAAACAATTCATTTCAGCTACCAATTGCTTCAACGAAATCGCACGTACAAAGAAAACGTCTACAGTTGTGTTCGTTATGTACTCTGAAAATTCATTGTGGAAGACATGAAAATTAAGAAAGATGCACAGTACTTCAAGATACAACTTGGATATTTGTTGTAAGGCACATTGCACCTGGCTCTGATACCAAAACATGTTAATTAAAGCGAAAAGCTGGTCAACGAAGTCGCACATACAGTACAAAGAAAAGCTAAAACTTGATAATTAAGAAAGATGCACAGTACTTGAAGAAGTACTTTGTTGTATGGTACATTGCACCTGTTCAAATACTCAGAATCGAGGGCAAAATGGTCAGTAACAACGGGAATTATAAATAACGAACATTCAGCTAGTGAAAACTAAAAGACCAGTCACTTTTCTATGACAATAGAACACGTATTATTGCGTATTACAGTGCATGTTCTACCCAGTTTAAGTTTGAAGATGTTGATTATGATGCATATCAAGTCCATTGTTCGTATAACAGACTTATAGACTTATTTTATATATTGAAAAATTGACTGTAATCCACACTCTAATTTCAGTTTTGCATATAGAGTACTCATCATCCAAAATAAATCTTATTTAGTATTGTACTATTTTTGTTGATTATCATTATCAAACGTTATCTATCGTTCCATTAGATTACTAATGAATTAAAACTTTCTATACATGTCTCGTGTCAGAAAGTTGTACTGTATCTACAAGCCTAGATTTAGGCAAATATTTGCTTATAACACAGACGGATGGAGGGGTGCGGAGGAGTACGCACCCCCCCCAAAAAAAAACAAAAAAAAACTGCACCCCCCAAACGTTTTCCCACCCCCACCTAGAGAAATTTGAAACCCCCAAAATTTCAATGCTCATTGCGATAAATGACAGTAGTGTAATTGAAATAAAGATTTTGAACTTGCATCGTTATAAGCGCGCGCATCATAAGGTTCATTGGCATGCAACATGTACGCGCTGCGTACCTATTTTTAGTTTGTTGGAAAAGACACACCCCCCTGGTTCACAAAATTTGAGTTCGAGAAATTTTTCTCATTATTCTACATTATAAGTACCCAAAGAGGCTATATATATATAAAACCGGATACAAATAGCTGTTTTGCAAAATTGAGAGCAATTTTAAATCTGTTCAGTTTTTTTTTATACACCCTGTATAGGGTAAAAACTTTTGGGAAAATAACTGCTGTCGATATAATCATGATTTTAGGCTTGGTTATGCTGTTTATATGTTGAAAGACCTTATCGCAACGAAAGGCAACAATGTCGACATCCATTTCATGTATGATATATGCTGCTTGTTCAAAGAACATCTGAGAGTAAAAAAACCAATACCAGCCGACAATTTCAAAAAATATAATACAAAACATAATCCGAAGATAAGCATCTTGAAACCCAAAATATGAGTCAAACAAGAAAGTGAGTGAGTAATATTTCGATTTTATTACAAAATCATCATCAGACTAACTAAAATTACAATATACACATGGTCTTATATACAAGTTGGCAAGGCATGATGACAGCTTAACGGAAGTCTCAATCAGAACCACGACAGTTGCAGTGAGATGTAAGTGTGATGAAATGTGGGTGAAAAAAGCTTGAGTTCTTTGCTGGCTTTGAGTCCAGTGTTTAAACTCGGTGAATGATACTTGATATATAGAGCTTCAAGCAACAAGAGTAAGTTAGGTGTGCGAGAATAAATAGTGTGAAGAATTCGAGAGTTGTCAGATATTAAGTTGGAAATAAAAGTGGAAACGTTATTGTCAGCGTCAGTTGGGTTGTTAAGTTTGTCAAAAACAAAGTGTAGGTTTACAATGTATTGCACATGTTCGCAGTTGTGAAAATGCTGTCCAATAGCACTTTTGGTCGGATTGGTATGTTCAGCGAGTCGCGTCTGTAAACGTCTTTCTGTTTTCCCAATATACGTTGCGGAACAGCCAGGACATGTCACCTCATAAACTACATTGGATTTCGAAAGATTCGGAATTTTGTCTTTGTTGGAAAGGAAATAAGAAAACTTTTTGTTGTCATAAACAACTATAAAATTTACAGGAACAGTTAGGCATCTTTGTATTTTCTTTATGCAACTTTTAACTAAAGTTTCACCTTGTTTACCAAGGTATGGAACGCGAACCCAAACCTTAGGCCTAGTGTCGTTTTCATCAAAAAAGTTGGTGCGAGGTCGATCCGCAGAAAATTTGTTTTTTAGTTTAGATATCAATAAATTCCTGATCGCACGAGGAAAGCCATTCCAAGACATAAACATTTTAAGCTTCCGAACTTGGTTATCAAATAGTTGACTGGTACTGTATTTCACCGAGCATCAAAATTATGCAGTACCAGTCAACTATTTGATAACCAAGTTGACCTCGCAGCAACTTTTTTGATGAAAACGACACTAGGCCTAAGGTTTGGGTTCGCGTTCCATACCTTGGTAAACAAGGTGAAACTTTAGTTAAAAGTTGCATAAAGAAAATACAAAGATGCCTAACTGTTCCTGTAAATTTTATAGTTGTTTATGACAACAAAAAGTTTTCTTATTTCCTTTCCAACAAAGACAAAATTCCAAATCTTTCGAAATCTAATGTAGTTTATGAGGTGACATGTCCTGGCTGTTCCGCAACGTATATTGGGAAAACAGAAAGACGTTTACAGACACGACTCGCTGAACATACCAATCCGACCAAAAGTGCTATTGGACAGCATTTTCACAACTGCGAACATGTGCAATACATTGTAAACCTACACTTTGTTTTTGACAAACTTAACAACCCAACTGACGCTGACAATAACGTTTCCACTTTTATTTCCAACTTAATATCTGACAACTCTCGAATTCTTCACACTATTTATTCTCGCACACCTAACTTACTCTTGTTGCTTGAAGCTCTATATATCAAGTATCATTCACCGAGTTTAAACACTGGACTCAAAGCCAGCAAAGAACTCAAGCTTTTTTCACCCACATTTCATCACACTTACATCTCACTGCAACTGTCGTGGTTCTGATTGAGACTTCCGTTAAGCTGTCATCATGCCTTGCCAACTTGTATATAAGACCATGTGTATATTGTAATTTTAGTTAGTCTGATGATGATTTTGTAATAAAATCGAAATATCACTCACTTTCTTGTTTGACTCATATTTTGGGTTTCAAGATGCTTATCTTCGGATTATGTTTTGTATTATATCTGAGAGTAAGAATATACAATTGTGAATGTGGTAATATATTAAACTTGAATTAATAGTATCACGGGACATGTACAATGATACATAATAACATACGTGCATACATTTGACCATCATTTTCACTTTTTTAGAAGCAAAATATGAATGATCTTTTAAACAATCTACAACTGGCTTGTCCGCAATTTCACGTATACAGTCATGGTGCAACTTGTCAAGTGCATTTTAATTACTTTTTTAATATTATCACTAATATATTCTAATTGTCCATTTTATTTAATATATTTCTAAATTGAAGGTGGTGAAAAGGTTAGGAATATCTACAGTCATGCCTATGGGCTACTGTTGTGTGATCTATACTTTACTTAGTTGGGATGATGTAGATGTACATTTTCATTATCAACACATTTTAAACAGTATACTATAATACAGTATCTATTACAGTTTTACCATCTTTTACATAATTGTTTTTAACTGCAGCTGTTGTACAGTCCAAGACGTCTCGAGGGTTGGGGAATGGTTGATGGGGAAGTTATGGAACGACTTTGGTCGTACCTTCGGCTATTTCGTAAGATGACCAAAGAAATGACCACCAGTCACCGAGAAGATATACTGTCCGATGCTTTGTATTTTTATGCAAAGAAACAAAGATCAAAAATTGGTATACATATACTGTACATGCACAGTGCATTTTTTCTGCAAATAAATTTAATATATACCTTCTATCTGTCCAATATAGTTATGTTATTAAATGCACAAATGCAGCGGTGTACTGAACTTCTCTCACATTCAACTTCAGAGATAGAAGAGTTACGAGAAAATTCTCCAGGTAAGTATACCGAACAATGCATGTGCAGTACAGGTATCTGTCTCCAGAATTTTTTAATCATTTGTTATTGGGTGATAAAACAAGTGTATTCTACAGGAATATGACCAACAAATCGAATTTGGTATTTCTTTTAGTTCTAATTACCGAGGAAATGATAAATCAATGGAAGGAGCAGGAGAGCGACCTTTTAAGAAAATCTAAGCCTGATCATGGTGAGATAGACACAACCATATATATAAAATGAGAGAATTATACGTACTGTAATTTGAATGCTGGTATTTTCTCTAAATTCTGGTTGGAGAGAGGCCTATCACATGTTTGTTTGTTTTTAGGGGGAAGGGGGTTTACACATGAGCTTTGCTGAAACGAGACGATTTTCGCGTATAGAAATAAATCGTGGGGCGTACAAATAACTTACAGACAGTTAAACACGTTTTCAATTTTTTTGTGGCTTTGTTTAGTTGATCTTGGAGCCCATGGTTGGATTCTTCCATATTTTTCCGTTTTACGTCAATATTACTCCGCAAGGTAAATTATTATGATCAGATGTATAATGTATCTGTATCGTGCTGTATAATGTTCTGTGTTGTTTTATTGTTGTTCACTTGTTCCTGCATGTCTGCATGTTAATGATATAAGAAAAATTGAAAAGACTAAATACTTGAATAACTTACATTTTACCATTTTTTTAAAGGAACCAGTTAGCAGATGGTACTGGAGATCAACAATCAAGTCACCTTGAAGTTCTAATGAGCAGGTGCTATTTCAAATATATAATAATGGTATTGTATTATGTCGTGCTCTAGCTTTTCCGCTGCGAAATGTAGCGCTTTTTTTATATTTTCAGCCTCAATTCACGTTTAATAAAAATGGAGGAGGAGCATGACATAAAGACAAGATGGAGTCAGACAGACCAACAGTATATTTCATCTCTGACTGCGCAAGAATGTGTGAATGCGAAGCAAACGTTGGACATGCTGCTAGTTTCCGGACGAAGAAGATGGTTTCTTCTGTCGCTAAAGAAGAAGTACGCAGGTATTGTATGAAAATCACACCAAGTTGTTAGTTGAGCATTTTTTCCCAACAAGAACAGTTTCTTCGATCAAAATGTGGTTTATTAAACAGAGAAACTTTACTGAAATTGTAAGTGAGAACCATGCAGCCTTTTTTTCTATGCAAGCTATTATACGCATATAAATACTGCCTGCGTTTATACTATGCCGTGTTTGCATGGAAAGTATTCTTTATTAATTAGAAAAGTTAATATTGTATATATTATTCATTTTTTCAGAGGGTCAAAGGCAAGCAAAAAGACTTGCAAATAGTATAACAAAAGAGAGTTCCAATTTGCGAAGGTTGATGAAACGTTATAACTCGTCCGTAGAGATACTACGTCAAAATGGTCGCCAAATGTTCGTCGACTTAACCTGGGAAAAAGCAAGTGATGTTACCAGTTCAATTTACACCATCAACTTTCCTAATCAAGATGAAATCCTGCTTTCGGTGAAAAGAACGGCGGTGGACATCGTTAACCTCATAAACCGTTTGTTAGAAGAGGGAAGTTACCTACGGCACGAAATGGAGTCCTGTATCAAGACGTTCTACGATGCATGTTTGGAGATTGAGAATAAGAGTAGTGGTTTCGTAGGGATGGGAGATGATACCGAGGAGTCTAATGAACTGAAAGGGTTGAACTCTTTAAAGAAGAACGAACTTCACGAGGAACAGATTAACTTGTTTGTTTCAAGTAATTTATTCAAACAGTTCATAAAAATTCCAGATGAAGTCGTAGAGTATTTACAACAGCATTCTGAGCTATCTGAAGAAAATGAAAATGGTGATGAAGTGTATGACGAAGAGGAGGAGAACGAAGAGAATGAAGACGTATGAATATATAGGAAAAGTTGATATAAACATGTACATATTTTCATATTTAACGTTAACTCACTGTAAATTCTCTGTCAAGAAAAAATACTTCTACGCAAACATTTGTTTGTTTTCAATTTACATGTTACAGAATATTTCAGATATGCTCAATTTTGTTGTAATGAAAAATTAGGACTGCGGACAAACTTAAAACATCGCTTTAGAAAATGTAATCAGTTTTCGTAAATATGACGAACATATTATGTACCACACCGTAATGTCCTATTGAAGAAGATTTTAGTTCCATTTAAATTATTACCAAAAATACACATTAGTTTAACGTATTGAGCTAATAAAACAAAACTACTTTTCTTATTCGATGAATTATGTGAAGATCTTCCTTGATACACATTCAACTAACCGCATGATTGATGACCGATCTCTTATGACAATTAAAAAGTAACCATGACGGGATGTTCACGGCTGGTTTGATTCCAGCCCATGGTGTAAATTGTTTATAAGTGATTAAACGATCATCTCATCAATAAATATTTCAAAAATTAAGTATACGCGTACAATAATATGACTGCATGATGGTCAATCATAAAATTATAAACACAATACGCATATGTTATTTTATTTTATTTGGTATACTGAAAGTCGTGAGTAGAAATTGTATATAATATTTCCCTTTTTATTCCAAAAACTATTGTTTCAATCAACGAAAATGATAATCTTATATGCACGTTTAATAGTGGAAAACAAAAGAACAGTTATTTAGCTTTTGAATGATACTCCTTTTAAATAGTAACGATGAGAAATGGCCACATACTCGTCAACTAAAAATTGCCGGTCGAAATCACATTCTTCCACCGTTGGGAAGTGTATGGAAAACGAAACATAAACAATTCCCAAGAGGGAATTAAAATTGAATGTTAAATTTTCTAAAATAAGCTCAACTTGTCAATCTTCGTCTTAGTGAGATCATAAGAATGTGATTATTGCATTAAACATGGTCAATTAACCCCTGAACAGAGAACATGCATTCGTAATCAAAACGTTTTACAAAACAAGTACCTTGCAGCAGACTCGCGGTGCTTTTGGGTTGATATATTATTTAACCTTGCATAATTAATGTATTTTCAATTCCCAACGCATGGAAGAATGTCATTTCGACCGAAAATATTTATTTGATGAGTATATGGTCATTTCTCATCGTTACGGTTTAAGGAATATATCATAGAAAAGCTAAATAACAGCTCTTTCGTCCAATGTAAAAATTGAATTGTGTAGTGAAGTCTGTGATTGCACAACAGCCTGTTGAATTTCAATAGCCTTTTTTGAGACACCCTGTATAAAGTGTATATGCACCCAAATGGCCCCCTATGTACACCCTATTACAGCGAAATTGACCCTAATATGCATCAACACAGCTAGATTTAATGAATAAACCTGAAATTTTGGAATTACATGTATTTCAGTGATCTAAAACAGTGTGTAAAATTTCTTGCCGCAATTCGATTTCTATCGTGGGGTCAACTTCACCGATGTTGTGTTGGGGTCTTATATATA